GGTGGCAGCACTGTGAGCAAGTCATAGAGGGGGACGGGGGGAGGGTAGAGAGGTGGCTGGGGACAGCTAGTGGGGGTCTTGTAAGTCATGCGAGGGCCTTTAGCTGTTCTTGGGGTGTAAAGGAGCGACGTGATCTGGCTTGGTTCTCATAGGCCCCTCTGGCTGCTGTGTGGAGCACAGATGGTAAGGAGTAAGCGTGGAAGCTGGGATAGCAGGAGGCAGCTACTGCTGTCGTCTGGGCAGAGCCCAGGTGACTCCGGCCAGGGGCCTCAGTGAAGGCAGAGGGGGTGATAGACGCTCTGCATGCAAACACACAAGTACCTGTTAGCTCTTTTCCTAACTAAGTCAGCTCAGGGGATCTGATTGTTGACTCCTCCCCTCTGTGCAGCAGACTCAAGTTCTCGCTGCCCACACCTGCACTCTCTGCTCCAGACCTGACCCGTCTGGGGTCTCCAACCGCCTCCAGCCGTGTCCTGGTGGCTACTGTCTCCTGGAAGTCAGAACCTGTAGGACACTCCCTCCTGCCTGCCACCTAAGGGGCTCCCCTCTGCCCTTCCTGGTTTCTGTCAATGGCACCTCCCCGTCCTCCAGGGAAAGCCCAGGGGCGTGTTGGACGTCTTCTTTCCCGTTTCCCTTCAATCAAGATCTCACACATGTGGGTCGAGCCCTGCTGGTTCTCCTCCATCCCTTCCTCCTCATTCCCGTGGCTACTCACGCAGGCCCTTGCACTGTACCTGCACCACTGCGGTAGCTGCATTCACTGTGGCCCGGTGGCCAAGAGCATGGCGTCTGGGGCAGGGCTTTCTGGGTTTGAATCTTGGTTCTGCCAACTTTGAATGGTATGAACTTGGGCTAGTTCCTTAGTTTCTCTGTATCCCAGTTTCTTCATCTGTGAAATGGGCATCTTCATACTTCAAAGCCTTTTTGTGCGGGTCAAGTGAGTCATTATATAGAAGATACTTAGAGCCTGGCATGTAGTTAGAACTCAATAAATATGAGCTCTTATTTTTATTATTTATGCAACAGGTATTTATCGAGCACCTATTATGTGTAGAGTCTTCCATTATACTGGGGGATGATGTGACCCAGAAGAAAGAATATAGGGCCTGACACAGCAATTCTGCTCTTGGATAAACATCCAATAAAAATGTTCGCAAATCTCCAGCAGAAGACACATACTGGGATGTTCACAATACCCTGTTCATAATAGCCCCAAACTGGAAACTACCCAAATGCCCATTGAAAGTAAAATGAGGTATATCCACACAATGGAATGTTATGCAGGAATGAGAAGGAATGAACTATTGTTACAACAACATGGATGAAACTGGAAACATGGTGAGTGAAAAAAAATCAGGCACAGAAAAGAACATAATGTATTATTTCATTTAAACGAGGTTTGAAGACAGGTACCAATCCACGCTGCTAGAACTCAGGAGAGTGGCTATGTTGGGTGGTGATGGAAGGGTGCCCAAGGGGGGTTCGGACATGCAGAAGTGTGAGATCCTGCTTTTGACCCAGGTGCTGACTGAGTGGGTATGTTTTGTTTGTGAAAACTGGACAAACAGAACACTCAGGATTTGTATACTTTTTAAACTTCATTCAAAATCAAGAAAGAAGGAAAAGAATGGAAAGGGAAGGGAAAAGAGGAAAAGATGGAAGAGAGGGAAGGAGGGAGCTTGGGAAAGAGAGAAAGAGAGAGAGAGAGAGACAGAGGCTGGCCGGGCCCCTGGGTTCCCCAGTTCTGGCCTCCCCGGCCCGGAGGGTGAGCAGTGATTCTCCTACCCAGGCCTGAGTTTCTCATCTGTAGAATGCGGATCCCAACAGCTACCTCCCCCTTGGTAAGATAATGTATAGAAAGCACCAGGAACAAGTAGGTGCTCCATAAACAGCAATCGTGTAAGCTGCGCCCCTCCAGAGTGTGAGCACCTCTGGGTGCCATCCTTGTCCCCAGATCCCAGGGCAGGGCCTGACCGGCTGTGTTTGCTGAATTCATCTGAACTGCCACCCGCGGGGATGGGGAGGGCCCCGGGCATGCCGGCAGGCAGGAGGATCTCGGGGGCCTGCTGATGCTCCCCACTCTGGAAACTTCCTCTTTCTTCCAGCTCCCAGTGTGGAGGAGGACGGTGTGCGAGGGCCGAGGGACAGGCTCCCTGCCAGGCTGTGTGGCCACGGCGGGCAGCAAAGGGCTCTGCAGAGAGCACTGGGCCCAGGAACACTCCTTCCCCCTGGCAGCCCCAACCCAGCGTCAGGAAGCTCCGGGGAACGGCCAGGCCCAGGAATCTCTGGCTGTGAGAGCTGCAGACAGGGTTGGCTGGTTTCCACCTGTGGCCTCTGCCCACGACACCTCCACAAACAAGAGGAGTCCCAGCCCGTGTCTCACTCTCTGCAAAGAACTGCAGAGGCGGGATGGTAATGGTGGCTGCCATTTAAGAACATGGAGGAATTACTCACCTCACACTCACAACCCCCCTAGGGAGTGGGTACTCACTCAATCCCACGATCCTATGGGGTGGGCACTGCCATTTATCCCCATTTTACAGATTAAAACACTGAAGCACCAAGAGGTCAAGTCAGGATAATAATTGCTAAAATTTTTTGTTTAAATCAAATAGTACTCTCAGTAATCCTCTGTGTTGAGTACTGCCATTTATCCCCATTTTAAAGAAAGGAAACCGAGGCTCAAGGACGTTAAGTACTTTGTTAAGATCACACCGCTAGGAAACAGCAGAGCCAGGCCCCAGGCCTGGGCAGGCCGGCCAGGCCACGCACTCCAGCACTGCCCAGCGGCTGCCCCGGCGAGAGGTCCTGTGTCTCGGAGCCAGCCGGGCCGAGGGCCCCAGCTCCACGACCCCGGCACGACTTGTTCATCACCCAAGTCTCAGTGTACTCATCTCTAAGATGGGAACATCGGTAGCTGGTTCCTGTAGGGGTGTCCCAAGGACGACACACGGTAGTGTGGATAGAGCTCTGGGCAGAGAGAGCCTTCCCTGCAGGAACCGTCTGATGCGTGTTCCCGGCGCTCGTCCTCACTCCCGCTGCTCATCGGGATGTGACCGGAACTTTTCCTGGCGCTGAGTTGAGAGTTCACTCTCGCAGAGCCAGGCCCGCCGAAATCCACTGCCTGGCAGAGATTCTAAAGCCAGGCTCGAGGGTCAGATAGCCTCGGTTTGGATGAAAATCGCCCACCTCCCCCCGCAGACCATCCTTCAGGGGTCCTCAGACTTTTTAAACAGGGGGCCAGTTCACTGTCCCTCAGACCATTGGAGGGCCGGACTATAGTTTTAAAAAAAAACTATGAACCAATTCCCGTGCACACTGCACACATCTGGTTTTGAAGTAAAAAAACAAACAGGCAAAAACACCCGCATGTGGCCCGCGGGCCGTAGTTGGAGGACGCCTGCTTTGGGCAGGTCCCCGGAGTCGGTTATCTCTGCCGTGGGGTGGTACGTGAAGCGAGCATGAGGGCGGGCAGCACGTGCCCTCCTGACCAGCGGCCACACCTGGGGGGTGGAATTTAAATCGCCCCGTTCCCAGCGCCCTCCTGCCCCTCGGCCCCCAGCTCCCTTGCCTTGCTCCTTCCCAGTAGCTTTGCCTAATGGGAGGCACAACCAGAAACGGGGACAGAAGAGGGACGAGCCGGGGTACGGGTCCCCATCTCGGTCTACTTGTTAGGTCTGCAAGGCTGCGTCCCCTCGGCAGCTCCAGCTCCCAGCAGAGGGCCTGTGGTTCCAGGTTCCATCTTAACCTGCGGGCGCCAGTGTCGGGGCTCTGCCCCCTTCCGCCCCAGCCTGGCACTGACTTTCTCTCTTGCCTTTCACAGTCCCCTATCTGGCCTCTCAGCTGGGTGACTACGTTCCTGTCCCCTCGTTACATCCCTTCTTTTCTATTATGCTGAGTGAGAGAAGTCATTCATTGAAGAGTTCCTACTATTAATACATGGCTCCATGTCAGCGAAGCTCAAAGACAGGAAAACTCATCTTTGGTGACAGAAATCAGAACAGTGGTTGCCTTGGGTAGAGGAGAGGGTAACCAGGAAGTGGCCAGAGGGACACTCTGAGATGATGGGAATGTTTTATACCTTGGTCGAGGTGTTGGTCACCTGACTGTGTACATTTGCCAAGCCTCGTTAAGCCACATGCGTAACACCTGTGTATTTAACTGTGTGTAAATCATACCTCAGTAAAATCGGTTTAATAAGTAGAAATCCCTGTTTAAATGCTGAGTGTTTTTCTAATTTCCTGGGATGGAAACACAGTTTTAATTTTTAAACAAACACAGGTAGACCGTAGAGGAGGATGTAAAATGTATGTGTTTCGATTTCTTTTTTTCTTTCTATAAACAATGAAACACGAGACCTCAAACAGCATTTCACACCTGGGTTGGTTTATTTCAGGCTGTGTCCCCCAGTCCCTGGGAGGTGGCCTTCATGCCCGTGCAAAGCGTGTGGGGCTCAGTGCCCGGCACACGGGAGGTGTGCAGGAAAGGTTAATTTTTACTAATACAAATTGGGTTCCGTGGATCACTGGAAAGCCTGCTTTTCTGACTTTCTTCAAGACCCTGTGATTCACCTGGCAGGGTTCACAAAGAATTCAGCTCTCTGAGCTCTGTCCCGGGTGGCAGGGCGTCCCCAGGCAGCAGGAGCCTGACACACAAGTTCACGCACAAGTTCAGGGACCATTTTACAAAACTCCAGGAAAGGAAGCAAGAGATTCAGAATATCTGTGTGCCCCTTCTTCGCTACACCCCCATAAAAGTGGCCAGCCCAGCCCAGCCCTGCTGCAGTGTCGTTGCAAGGGAGTGGTTGTGTCCATCTCCTGCCCAGGGGAGGTGGCAGAGAAAGCTCGCCATGTGCATGTTTGATACAGGCTGAGTCTAGGCTGAGAATAGACTGGAAGACCCTGGAAAGCTTGCCCAGCCTCCCAGGCTGTGAGTTAGGAAGCGGGACTAGGTCATGCACCCCCCCGCTGTATCTCAGGGTCTGGCGGGACCAGGTGGCTTGTGAATATTCTTGTCCCCCTGGCCCTGGATGGTGGACCCAAGCTCACAAAGCTGCCTGCTGGGGACGGTGGGCATGGCGTCTCCGTTCCCAGCCAGGCTCTAGAAGGCTCTGCGCAGTGTTCCGAGGGCCCTGGAAGGCGGGCAGGGCCTGAGCAGGCAGGGGCGGCGCTGGAACTCCAGTATGCAGAGTCTGTTCTGGTTGGACACCCGGGTGGAGATGCCCAGCCCACAGCTGGTCGAGCAGGGGCCCCAGGGCGTGCTCCAGTCCGGGCAGCGGTTGCCAGAGGGTGGGGCAGGGACAAGGCCAGAAAACTGGGGTCCTGGGGGAAGAACAAGGAGTCAGCACTGTGAGGTCACAGCTTGGCAGCCAAATCGACCTACCTGCCGATGGCCACAGTGATGTACCAAGGTACTTACCCTCTCTGGACCTGTTTCTTCTTATGTAAATTTCCTAACAGTTGCTTGTTGGGATGGAATAAAAGGATGGGTGTGAACTTGTAAGCTCCCTGTAAACAGTGGTTATTAGCCAACTAGGACAGTGCGGGTCTGGATGGCTCCCCAGTAAACATTAGGGCTTTCTCCTTCTGTAACCCCCTGGCATCTTTGATAATAAGTCGCATCGCCTGGGCAGGAGGGGCCCAGCATGTATACTGGTGCCAGGTGCCCAGGGCCAGGATGCTAAAGATGCCAAGACTCCTGTGACCGTGGTCTAGCTTTTCCTCCTCCCCAAGCCTCCTCCTTCTCCATTAATATTTTGATGTCCTTCCTTCCAGTCCTATGCCAGTGGTTCTCAACCAAGGCTGATTTTGCTCCCCACAGGGGACGTTTGTCAATATCCAGAGACGTTTTCTGGTTGTCACAGTTGGAGGGGCGGTGGCTGCTGGCATCCAGTGGGTAGAGGCCAGGGGTGCTGCTAAACATCCCTCCTCAAGAATGACTCGCCCCGAATGTCCCTTGTGCTGAGGTTGAGAAACACGTGTGTTCCTCGGCACGTGTGCGCATACACGCACACACGCACACACGGCATGGAGACCGCACTGGACATGCGGATTCTTGTCCTGCTTTTGACACAGGAGGCGAGCTCGCCGGCGCTGTGCTACACGTTGGAATGGATGTCTCCTGTCCCGTCACGGGGACAGGGGCCGCCACTGATGCAGTGCCGCGTGCCGTGTGTGCTGTGCCTGCTTTCCTCGTCCTGCCTGCTTTCCTGTAGTCCTCACGGCAATGCTATCAGGCGGCTGCTGTTATTATCCCCACTTAACCGTTCTAGAAATCGAGACCCAGAAAAGTGAGGCAATTTTCTCAGAGTCGCAGAGCCAGGAGGAGGCGGGGCCGGTGGGGGCTCCACGCACCTAACCCGCCCGCCCTGCGGCCTCCGCGGGTGGCGGCGGCAGGTGGCGGCGGCACGCACGGAACCAGTCTTCTCTTTCTGTTGCCCTTTTTTATAAAGTCACAGCTATGTAATAGTAACTTTTGAAAAAGCAACCTAGCAACAACAAGTCTCTAAAACTGAAGCGTTTATGGCGGGGGTAACTGTCTTTTGTCCCTCTCTGCCCACCCCCAGGCCCATGTTCCAGAGAAAACTGCCTTGCCTAGCTCAGCTTTGAGTCCTTTTCTTATAAACCCAAATAATAATAAATAAATAATATATATTATCGATATATATTATTGATATACTATAAACATACTAATATGTTTTCGTATACACAACATACTATACAAACATAGTAAAACATACTATACAAACATACTAATATATTTCATCACAGTGTACCTCGATCACATTATATACTATTACATCTCTGCTAGGAAATGTGAGAATTTGGCTCAAGTATCCTAATCCTCCTTTCCCCTCCCCACGCTGCCGCCTAGTTTTAATTTTTCATTATTTATGATTTTAAATTACATATTTTTTTCCTTTTTTTTTTTTGAGACAGAGTCTAATTGTGTTCCCTGAGCTAGAGTGCCGCGGTGTCAGCCTAGCTCACAGCAACCCCAAACTCCTGGGCTCAAGCAATCCTCCTGCCTCAGCCTCCCGAGTAGCTGGGACAACAGGCATGCGCCACCATGCCCGGCTAATTTTTTCTATATATATTTAGTTGGCCAATTAATTTCTTTCTATTTTTTTAGTAGAGACTGGGTCTCACTCTTGCTCAGGCTGGTTTTGAACTCCTGACCTCGAGCGATCTACTCGCCTTTGCCTCCCAGAGTGCTAGGATTACAGGCATGAGCCACCTTGCCAGGCCTAAATTACATATTTAAATGGCTGCTTCTTGCTTTGCCACTTTTAAAGAGACCTGGTGACTCTTTACTCCTGTTTCCTGCATCTCTCTTCAGCCACCGCCCACACCCACTTCTGATGTGCCCGGAGTCCTGGCACCTAAGAAGAGCCCTCCCCTGCCAGCCCCCTGGCCCACGGTGCCCCTGGGCAGGGGCCAGCCCTGCACTCACCTTGGGCCGGAAGGGGCCGGATCTGCAGCTCAGAGTCCCCGAGGCACACCCACTCGGGGCAGCACTTTCCGGGGACCTCCACCCTCCGGGGGTAAGGGCAGTCCCAGCTGGGCAGCCGGATTTCCTCGCTGCACAGCGGCACGCAGGTGGCGCCGCCGTCCTCACAGCGGCAGAGGGTCTTGCAGTGGGGCTGGAAGGTCTCCCCGTCCTGGTACCTGCGGCCATTCACCAGGCAGCTCCCGTCGTCCTCCTCTCCCCCTGCGGACAAGAGACCCAGCACTGACCCCCCCAGCCCTGCACGCTCTCCACCACCAGCCCGCCCGGCGTGGCATCCTGGATCCTGGCACCCAGGGTTTGCAGGAAGACTGGCCTGGCTTGAGCCCCTGCTCTGCCCCCTCTTAGCTGTGAACCTTGGCCAAGTGATCCCACTTCTTCTTGCCCCAGTTTCCTCATCCGCAAAATGGGATATAATGGTACTTATTTCACAGAGTGGTATAGATGAAATGAAATGATATATGCCATGACCCCAACGTAAAGGAGACCTTGAATATGTAGTCCTAACTACTCTGTTATCATTAGTATAGTTATTATATATTAATAATAGTTACCTATTATATACACCCTGAGATTCATGCAACAAACTCACTGTCCACCTGCTGTGTTGTAGTCATCTTCCAGGTCAGGGCTTAACTTGCAGGCTGTGTGACTTTGGGTCAGTTACTTAACTTCTCTGAGTGGCCTGAGCAATAGCAATGATGAGAACAGTAATTTTTGCACCTTTGGGTTACACAGGGTAATGTGTACATAGATAGCATCTAGCACAGTGCACAACATGTAGTAGGTTCTTGGGGACACTCAGAACCTACTACACTCAGAACCTACTTGGGGACACTCAGAATGAAGCCCTCAGGATATGGGGTTATTCCCACTTCCTCCCCTGGACTTGAACTCCATGAGGGCTGGGGCTGAGTGTATTAATCCTGGCATCCATTGGGCTGGCTCAGAGCCTGGATGGGACACAAAGAACCTCAGGATATGCCCTTTGAGTGGATACCTGGCACAAGGCTCAGCACAGGACAGACACTGGTAAAATAGTTCTGGCTCCTTCTAATTCCAGAGATATTTACCGTGCCCTTCCTGTATGCCAGCCACTGCGCTCCTAGACAGGAATAAGAAAGTTCATACTGAGAATGACTCGTGGGCTAGTGGGGAGACAGGTGTGAAAGTCACCACCTCCAAGACAGGGTGAAACAAGAGCCCCGGAGAGGTGCCCGTGAGCTGTTCTGGAAGGCAGACAAAGGAGCAAGGTGTGTGTTTGCGGGCAGGAGGGAGAAGTTCTCAGGGGACCTGGGTGGCAGTTGGGCTGGGCTGGGGAAGGGACTCATTGGCAAGCAGGTTCTCCCAGGTCTTCTGGGAAAAACCTCAAATAGGTCTATGCACACGCAGGGGTTTGGAACCGCACGTACTAGGGTTCAAACCCTAGCTCCTGCTGGCCAGCTGTGGAGCCTGGGGCAAGTGACCTCACCTCTCTGAGCCTCAGTACCCTGCTCCCGGGCTTGCTGGAGGGTTACACGAGCTGGCATACTTAAAGCATTCTGCCCCAGCCTGGCACAGAGCAGCTGCTCAGCAGACGGGAGTGGGCCACGCTCATTCTCCGGGCAGGACAGGACCGGCGTCAGCTCTCTCTCCCAGCTCTCTCCAGACCACAGCTCTTGGGCTCCGAATCCCTGACCTTTCTGGCCGGGATCATGTGGCTGCCAGTTTTCTAGAAACCGCAGGGGCAGCTGCACCCTCATCCCCACCCCTGGCCTGGCCGAGCCCAAGTCTCCCAGCCTGACTCCGGTGCCGCCGCCCTGGGGCCTCCGGGTCGCTGGGCCGACCCGGTAAACAGAGGGCTTGTTTAGGAAAATCGGCCGGAGTGGGGGTCGCTTTAGCAAGGTGTCCAGGCACCTCCCCTGGGGGCCGCAGCTCAGAGCTGGCTGGGGCTGGAGGCGGCAGTCGTGGTCCCTGGGCTGCCACTCTGCCCGCCAGGGTGTGCACGTCCCACACACCACGAGGCACCTCGTGCTGCCCTGTTCTCCTGGTGCCACACTGCGGCCGCCCACACCCTGCTCCTCCTTTCAGCCCCTGCGCTGTTCCTGTCGCCATCAACCTCCCCAAACACTGCCTTCCTCTGGTTCCCACAGCCCGACCCAGGCTCAGAGCACAGTCTTGTCACCTGGCAATTTCTGTGTCCTTCTTGCTCTCTTGGAGTCCTTTGCAGGGGCAGGAACAACAGTATTGTTATTATTATTATTTTTACCTTCAGCCACTTGCACACTGTGTGACCTTGGGCAGATGACTTAACCTCTCTGAGCCCAGTTTCCTTGTCTGCAAAATAGGGCTAATAATAGGACCCGCCTCAATGTGAAGGATAACACGAAATCACATACATCAAGGACTTGCTCACGGTCCGTGCTCAATCAATGGTTCCTGGTACTGCTAGCCCCACTAGCGCCATGGTTATTATTTATTCGACAAATATTTGCCTGTGGCCCGGGCACTGCTGTAGGTACTTGTGATATAGCCACGAATAAAACGGGCAGAACATCCTAGCTTTCACCCTAGTGGAAATAAACATCATAAACAAGTAGGTTTATTATGTCAGCTGGTGGTGAGTGCTAGAAAAATAAAGGGAGGTTAAGGAGTAGGGGAGGGGCTTAAATATGGTGATCTGGGAAGGCCTCGCTGAGAAGTGATGCTTGAATAAAGAGTAGAGATGAAGGAACTTGCTCAGCAGATAGCTGTGGGGAAAGAATAGTGGTGGGGGAAGAGCCGGTGCAAAGGCCCTGTGGCAGGAGTGTGCCTGTTGTATTTAAGGAATGGTGAGGAGGTCAGTGTGGCCAGAGCAGAGAAAGGGAGGAAGAGGAAACAGGAGCAGGATCCCTTGGTGCCTTGCAGGCCACTGTGGGGACTTTGGCTTTTACTCGGAGGAGAAGGGAAGCCACTGGAGGAGCCAGGGCAGAGGAGGGTGTGCTCCGAGCCCTCTGCCCGCTGTGTTGCGAATAGACCGGGGCGAGGACAGAGGAAGGAGACAATTGCGGGGCTGCTGCGAAGTCCCGGCAAAGGCAAAGGACGACAGGGTGGTGGCCGTGCAGGACCGAGAGGTGTGGGATGCTGGAAAGCCGTGGAGAGGCTGCAGGTGAAGAGTGAGTGAGAGGGGCGTGAGAAGAAGACATCGAGAATGACCCCAAGGTGCTGGGCCTGAGCCGTGGGGAGGACGGAGACGCCGGGGAAGCTGCGGGTTTGGGGGACAGGAGGCGGGAGCTCAGCGGGGGACGTGCTGTTGGCAGGGTCGTGAATGCTGCTCTCCAGCCCCAGCCTAGAAACTCGGTTCAAACTCACTTCAAACATTCCTGAGCACCCACCGTGTTGCCAGACCAGGCTTGGAAGCTGCAGGAAGGACCAGGGACCCAGTAAATCCTTGGCCTGCAGGTGTTTGAAGTCTGAATTAAGATGGAATAAGAAAGCTCCTTTAAGAAAGTTATTGGCAACAACAGCCACTATGTAATAATCACATGCCGTGTGTTAGGCAGTTGAGGTCATGGAGCCTAAGGTCATGGAGCCACCTCCCTGAGTTCAAAATGCTGCTCTGCCACTTATGCGCTGTGTGGCCTTGGGCAAGTTGCTTAACCTCTCTGTGCCCCTTATTTCCATTTATAAAATAAGGATAACATTGGTACCAACCCCATATGGTGGTTGTGAGATAAAACGAGTTGATATTCCTGAAGCCCTCAGTGCCTGGCATACGGTAGGGGCTATGGAAGTGTTCAATAAATAAACTCTGGCAAGTGCTGTTTACGCGTGTCATGGAGAATTTAAATAACAGTCTCTGAAGCTAAGTATTACTTATCTCGGTTTTTTTTCTTTAGGTACATTTTCGTGAGCAATCACTGTGAGTTTGTATGACAAATCATCCCTTTCTCCTTCCAATATGCCCCAATCAAATAAAGCACGTAACAAGGATTTACTACTGATAACGTTTGGTCTATAAGTTTTCTTGTTTTTTGAACGAGGCTTTTCCTATTGATGGAGCCATTGTCAATGATTCATGAACCTCTCGCTCTGTCTCGCTCTTGTCCTTATTTTTGTTACAGTGACATGCACATAGATGAAAGAATTAAATAGTTCTACAAGGCTTATTATTATTATTATTATTATTTTTAAAAAAAGGAACGACCAAATGCTTACCTCTTTCTAGTTCTCTAAAGCAATGGTTCTTAACTGGGAGTTTTGCTCCCTGAGGACATTTGGCAATGTCTAAAGACACACTGTCACCACTGGGCCAGGGGGTGGGGCGAGGGTTGTTGCTGGCATCTAGTGGGTGGGGTTCAGGGTGCCGCTCAGTCTCCTATTACACACAGGACAGTTCCCCACCCCCAGCGAAGAATTGCCTGGCCCCAGATGTCACTAGAGCAAGCTGCCAAACCATGCCCGAAAGCGTCAGAGGATACCACAGCCTGGAAGAGTGGTGAGAAATGTAACGTGTTCAAGTTCCCTGGTAAACAGCAAACCCAAGATTCAAACTGGTCTGAGGGCTCCCACTCCGGGAGGAAGATGGAATGGAAAGTTCCTTTACAGCCTGTCAGATCAGGTCCCAAGCTGTGCGACGTGAGGCATGTCAGTTAATACCACTGAACCTCAGTTTCCTCACTTGTAAAATGGGTCTGAAAGTACTTACTGCCGTCGGATCATTGTGGGGATGATGTGACTTGTGTAGTGTGCGCTTAGCACAGTGCCGGACACGTATTACGCCCTAAATAAGGGGTTGCACTTTTATTTTCCCCGAAGTGTTGTGAGGATCCTGAGAAGGGGTTGGTGGCTTCCGGTTGGAAGAATCTGGGAGGGCTTCTCAGGGGAGGTGTTTGAGCTTGGCTTTGGAAGTTGGCAATGATTTGGACAGGTGGGGACAGGAGGAGGGGGTCCAGGTGGCAGGCATGATCTGAGCAAAGACCAAGAGGGGGGAAGTAAGCAGTGGGCCTGGGAGAACCTCGGCCGCCAGGTTTGGCTGGAATGGACGGTGTGCCTGAAGAGGGTGGATGGAGGGAGAGAGAGGAGGGTTGCCCTTCGATTCAGGACCCCATGGCCTTGACCTCCCGCACACACCCTCCATGGGCCCCGCAAACCTGCTTACAGAGGCAAACGTCCCCCTGGCCGCCGGGGCCCACCCCGGGCTTGCAGCCCAGGCCCTTGCTGTCGTCGCACACGTGGAGGCGGTCGCAGGGCTCCCCCAGCTGCCGTGCGCACACCCGGCAGCAGCCACAGCCGTCCAGCACCAGGGGCACCCCCGGGGGGCATGGGGGCGGTCGCCAGGGGCAGTCGCACCGTGCCGGGCACGGCTGGGCACACGCCTGGAGAGACAGAGACCTCACTGAGCCGCGGGCTTTGGAGGTGGACAGTGAGACCCTCACAACTGGCCACCTCCCTGCCAGGCTGGGAGGTGTGGGGTTCACACCTTGGCCTGGCCCTGAACCCTGGCAGCCTCGTGGCACTCCCTGAGAGGTGGTATGGCATTGTGACCAAGAGCAAAGACTGTGGACAGGAGTTCCAATTCTAACTCGGCCCTTATTAGCTGAGTGACCTTGGGGAAGTTACTTAAGCTCTCGGAGCCTCAGTTTCATCAACTATAAAATGGGAGCAATAGTAGAATCTCCCTCAGAGCACTGTTTTGAGGAGCACATGAACTGGTGCACGCCACACCCTCAGCCCAGGGCCTGGCATGCAGTAGGTGCTCAATGCATTGAGCCCTGGTGACCATCACAGTTAATCACAATGAGGGGCTCAGCTCCTGCCTGCTAGAAGGTGATGGAAGGGCAGAAGCAACAAGGATGGAAGCGCAGGGCATGGCACGTTTTCCAGCATGCGGGTGCTTATCTTGAGGACTGAGTACGTGGAACAGTACCATGGGTGTGTCTGGTCTTTGGAGCAATCCAAACATGTCTCCAAACCCTGCATGTGCCAGAAAACTTGGTGAAATACGAACATCCAGACCCCTCTGGCACTTACCAAATCAGAAGTCCCAAAGGCAGGGCCCTGGAATCTGTATTTTTAACAAGCTGGGGGGGGGGCTTCTGAAGCTTTAAATTCATTTGGGGTTCGGCACTTCCGCACCCCCCCATGCCAGGCACAGATGGGGCCACCGAGCTCCAGAGAGAGGAAGGGACTTGCCAAAGTCAGCTCGCTGGCTGCAGAGCTGGGAGCAGTCCCAGGTCCTGCTTCCCTGGTGAGGGCCCAGGGGCGCTGGGCGGGGTTCACTTTCTCCAAAACAGGGAAAAGCCTGAGCCAGGGACCACCCCCCAGAGGCAGGGCCAAGGTGTCAACCCAGGTGACCCACCTGCCCCTCGCACACAGGTCCAGGAAACAAGCAAACCCCAAATCGGTCGCTGTGGGCTCCTTGCTTGTCCCTTTGGGGCTGGGGACCAAAGGGTGGCTGTAATTCCCTGTAACACCCAGTGGCCCGTGGGAGACAATTTCTAGTTCAGCAGGACCCTCAGGGAGCTAGAGGGTTTAACTGGAGGAAGGAGATACACACTTTAGGAAGGTGATATTAGTGACCTCGGGTCTCCCGTGTGTCCTCAAAGCAGGCAACGACCCCTTTGCCCTTAGCCCCCGCCCCGCCCCCACCCCAGCACGCGCCCCACCCCCCAAAGTCCCGCGAACCCGCTTCCAGTTGCCTGCAGCTCCCGCCCCGGCCGCCAGGGGCCGCCCTGAACGGGCCGACCCGCCTCCCGGCGCACGGGGTAGCCGGGGGTGTGTGTGGCCTTGCGGGGACCAGGGCCCATCTCTGCAGGATCTGCATGTTCTAGAGGAGACGGCCCAGCCTCGCCCTCAGGTGTGGCTAGACTAGCGCGGCAACCTTGCCGGGGATCTTGCTAGAAATGCGGCCTCTACGGCCCGCAGATCTAGAGGGGCTGAGAAGAGACAGGCTGACTTTGGGGTTTCCTTCAAACCAGAGGCTCGGCGCCCTGCGTTTGTGAGCAGTGGGGGACTCCGACCAGACCTGGCTCTCGGGTCCCTGTCACCTGAAAACAGGGACGCCAGGAAATAGGCCTTCTGCTGCGACCTGGGTCCCTGCCGTGAGCGCCCTCTGCCCGGCAAGCTTGGCAGGGGCTGGACTCTGCCGGGTCCCCAGGGCGCCCACCCCCCAGAGGCTATTAGTGATATCCGCGACTGTAGCTGTCAGTTGTCACGTGTCACACCACGCCTGTGCCATGTGCCAAGTGCTGTTGTCTCATTTAACCCTTCCGTGTGAGGGACCAGCCTTATGCCCATTGTAAAGATTTGCAAACTGATACTCAAAGCCATGTAGTAACACAGCCAGTAAGCGGTGGAGCCAGGATTAGAATCCACATTTATGTGAATCCAAGGCCCAAGCTCAAGTTGTCCTGTCCACACCCGGGCTTCCCCGGAGCTTAGCTGCGGTGGCCAGGGAGAGGCTCAGTGGCGAAGCTCTGGGCCTGGAGTTTCCTGGGCAAGCGTTGAGATCCAAGTTCTACCACCGACTTGCTACGTGACTTTGAACACACGGCCTCACTGCTTGTGGCGTGGTGGCGGTGCCCAGCTTCTCCTCTGCAACACGAAGCGTGCGCCGCCCAGCTCCGAGTGGAGCTCCTGGCCAGCTGTTGGATCAACCTGACTTTGCTCATTTCCAGGGGTCTGCCTCCTGCCCTGCCCCCAGCCCTGAGCCCAGGATCCCGCAGCCTGCCTGGAAGACTTGCAGCTCTCTCTCTGTGGGTTGCTGTGGCTCCCGTGCCGGCCGTGACTCAGCCCGTGTTCCTGCGCAGGACGCTGCCTGGCTTCCTGGGACCAGGGCTGGGGGGTCCCCTTGGTCTCTCCCCGTGGTAAGTCTAGGGAAGCTTTATATTGGCCTTTCATGATCCCAGGCCCCTTCTCCCTCCCAGGACCCCAAGTCCCCTGCTCCAGCTACCCAAGCCACCCAGCCTGCATCACGTCCTGCCCGTCCCCTTTGAGAGAACAAACAGTGGAACCCGGTGCCAGCGGCGTTCTCGGCTTTCCCTGGCCCGATTGCCTGTGGACAGGAGAGAGAAACTCCTGCCTGTGCTCCTCAAATACAGTGAGGTCATGGGCATGGTGAGGCCAATCCGTGGTTCCTGGAAGGAACTCAGCATTTGCTGCGGGGATGACACAGCTCGGTAGCTGTGGCCCTGGTGCAGGTTAGGGCTGGGAAGGTGCAGACTGGAGTCCCTCTCCCATATACACACCCATGTGTATCGTGGGCTCTGCCACGCCTCTTCTCTATTGCACTGATGTTTCTTTGCTGTGTGGCTTTGGGAGAGTTGCTTACCCTCTCTGAGCCTCACTTGACTGAAAACTGAAGATGATAATTCATTATATGGTTGTTGTGCATGTTAGGCGAGGTGAACATCCCACATGCCCTTTGATAAATGTCCCATGCATCACTGGGGGAGAAGACTATTACCGCATTGGGGTGTCCTGTATCCCTGTAGCCAGGGTCAGCGGGGCACTCACTGCCTGAGGACCCCACAGCATTAATACCCTTGCAGAGCGAACTTTCCAGTGAGTGAGACACCACTCAAACATCCATCCGAACCCTGGCCCAGAGTTAGGCAGTGCACGTCATGGCTTAAATGCCCCCATTTATGACGGGGATACCCGCCCCTGCTTTGTAGAGGGGTGTGGGGATGGGTAATCGTCATTAAAATCCTCTTCTGAACATTTACCGCATGCCAGGGCCTGGCTAAGCATTTTAGATGAGTTATCACGAATGATCGTCACGCAGGCCTCACGGACATTGTGCCCATTCAACTGAGGAAAAAACTGAGGCTCAGAGAAGGAAAGGGAGTGGCCTGAGGTCACACAGCAGGGCTGGCCAGAGGCAGCTCCCTGGCACCAGGGAGGGAAGCCTGGTTTGGGCACAGTGACCAGACTGTGCCCAGAGTGGGGCCCTGGAGGAATTCTGCCAGGGGGCCCCTGGCTGTGATTTTACACCCCTGCCCCCTCCGGCCCGGGCCCCCTTACCTTTGCGAGGAGGCAGAGGAGAGAGAAGGCCAGGAGGTGGGTCTGTGATGTGCCTCTCATGTCACTGTGTTCCCTGCAGAGCCAGCTTAGATTCTGGGAGGCAGGACCTGTGGGTCTTTATGTTCCGGCGGCTGTGAGGTCACTCCCAGGCACGCACACACACACACACACACACACACACACACGCACGCACACACGCACACACACTGGCCTTTCCATTCCTTGCTCCTCTCCCCATCCTCCTGGTCCCGGTGATGAGCCCATTTACCTGCAGGTGAGACAGTGGAGGCCACCACGGGGGGCCTGCCAGTGTGTGTGAAAGCCTGAGCCAGTGCCAGCGCCGGGAGCTGTGACAGCCTGGCAGGGCCTCTCCGACTCCTCCCAGCCCAAGAGGGCCTGAGCCCCCACCGCCGCCGTAGCCGCCCTGCCCCAGACCCCTGCCCGAGCCCAGAGGGGCTGTAGACGCCAGGAGCGCTCAGCAAACACCCCCTGTGCGGGGCTGACCCCAGGGGCTCCTCGGCCCCGTGGCCCAGGCTCTGGGCAGCCTCGGCTCAGCCTGCGGTTTCTGGCAAGAAGACTGGCAGCCACCCAGAGGTGGGTGTGACCCAGAGCAAAACCTCCCTGGGCGGCCTGCTTGCTCTTGGCAGTGAGGGGTCTCCCATGGCCTGCTCGCCGGCTCTGGAAGGTGGCCCGCAGTGGGCGAGCCAAGCAGGCTGGACCTACTGTGCGCAGCGCTTGCCTCCCACTGCGGGACGATCTGGTCCAGCCAGATGCATTTTGATTATTAATTCAGCCACCTCTGCGGCCCCCTCTGCAGGAGCAAGGGACACAGCACTGACCTAAGGACAGGGCCAGAGGGTGACAACAGTGGGAAGACAGGTGGAACTCCTGGGAATACCACGGAGGGTCCCTTGTTGAGACCAAAGGCGACGGACAGCTTTCTGAAGGAGGTTTCATTTCAGAGGAAAGAGAAAAGAGAGGGCGAGAGAGGGCGGAATGTTCCAGGCAGAGGGCACAGCACGTACAAACGCCTAGAGGTGGGACGCATAGCTGATAGCTGCCTACTCTGGGAGCCGAAGGTGCCTGGTAGGACCGCAGCTTTCCGTGCACAGGGAGTGTGATGTCTGTGGACGGTAAGGCGCAGTCACACCACCAAGGTTTGGGGCCACCTGCAACATTCCAGCCACTGGGGGCGGGGGATGGAAAGACATGGGCTTTGCCTGTAGAATTTGGCAAAGATAATTATAGAGGTGATGCCAAGGGGTGGCTGGGGAAGGCTTGGCCCCCCATCACCCCCACCAGTATCCCAAACCTCAAAGTGATGGAGCTGGACAGTAGAAGGTTCCAGAAGGGGCAGTTGGTAAGGAGCAAGACTGCAGGGTGTTCAGCATGGGGGAGACGCCCTCCTGCTGCATGCAGCCCCCAGAGAAAGAGGCAATGGAGATGGAGGTTGAGGATGGAAATGTGGGATTTGATCATTTATGGAAGGAGGGAGTGGCCAGGGTGGGGGGGTCCAGAGACATGAGGGGAAAAGAGAAACAGAGTGAATTTCTGTTTTTTCTTAAAAACTGCTGATGTTTCGATCAGAGGCATGCCTAGGGTATTTTACAATCCAAATGGATCATTCTAAGCATCCCCCTCCTTCCTGCAGCAAAATTATTTTCAGTAATAATCATGAAATGAAACAAACAAATTTCATGTATGAACTAAAATTTGCACTTACCAAGCAAAACCATTTCCCTTCACGGTTCACACTGTTTCACTCTTTTCAAAATTTTAAGCACAGGCCGGGCGCGGTGGCTCACGCCTGTAATCCTAGCACTCTGGGAGGCTGAGGCGGGCGGATTGTTCGAGGTCAGGAGTTCAAAACCAGCCTGAGCAAGAGCAAGACCCTTTCTCTACTATAAATAGAAAGAAATTAATTGGTCAACTAATATATATAGAAAAAATTAGCCGGGCATGGTGGCGCATGCCTGTAGTCCCAGCTACTTGAGAGGCTGAGGCAGGAGGATTGCTTGAGCCCAGGAGTTTGAGGTTGCTGTGAGCTAGGCTGACACCATGGCACTCACTCTAGCCTGGGCAACAAAGCGAGACTCTGTCTCAAAAAAAAAAAAAACTCCAAGTAGTCATGCAAGATGACAAAATGGAAATCCTTACGTTGTTGTCTGTACCATCACTCTGCATTCGTTGTTTGTTCAGATCTACTGTTTAAATGCAGAAATACGGAATGCCAGACAGCGGAGGGATTCATGACCGTAGGAACCTGCTCTCTCCATGACCGCGTGTCCCTATGTCCAAGTGTGCTGGGGGCAGCTGTGCTCCTGTAAGTTCTCCAAGCCAGCCTCTATGTAGACTGCGTTTATCAAAGGAGAAGAATTGAAATGTGCTCCTTTGAAACTTACATATATGTTATTAAAATTCAACATCTGTTTGGAACTTGGGCCAATAAATGATATTTTCAGGACAGAGAACATTATCACTGACATTACCTATATTTGCCACCACACGGTGACAGTCAAAAGCAGACTGCCTTCTCATCACTTTTATTTTATCTTTAACTTCTCTACCTGCTGCCCCTTATTGTCTGCACCCAGGGAAAATCACTCACCTTCCTGTCCTAGGTGGGCTGCTCGTCTTAGTAACAATTAAGTGATGGAGTATTGAGCACCCAGCAAGATCCAGCCCGTGTGCTAAGGACCGTTCATAAAATGTGTCATTTCTAATTTTCACAATCCATACCTCAACAAAAAGGTGGGGTTCAGAAAGGTTAAGTAACTTGCCTGAGGTCACACAGATGGAAAGCAGAGCCCGATTTTCAGCAGAGGTCCATATGACTCTAAAACATAAGATGCAGTTTTGTTGTTTTTATGTATTTTTGCTACTGCCCATAGAGCTCTGTGATACATATTTTTTAAATTGAGGGGTAACAAATACACAGAAAAGTGCTTAGGGCGAGGGGGGAATCGGCATTTATTGAAACCTTAAAATCTGTACCCCCTATAATATGCCAAAATAAAATAAATAAATAAATAAATAAAAAAAGAAAAGTGCTTAAAGTGAACCAGTATTAAATGTACTGCTTGATGACTCCTCATATCTATGCATGTACATGTATAATCATGTATGCACATGGACTTGTGTCTACATGTATAATCATGCGTGTTCATGATTAGGTATATACCCATGTAATCCACCACCCAGATCAAGCTACATTTCCAGAAGGTTCCTCGTGCCCCTTCCAAGACTCTGCCCCCCAGGTACCTCCTATTCTGACTTCGTTTTTCCCTGAGAGGATCCATTTTAAACCCGCTCTTTCTCAGAGGCATGAAGGGAAATACCTGGAGAGATCAGGGGTGCGGTGGAGACGCGGAGACAGACACCCCGGTCGCAGCCATGCGAGTAGCAGAGGCCGCGTGGATTCTTTCTGGAACTTTCCTCTGCAATAACGGAGGCTGGGAGAGTGGGGGGGGCCCTGGCGCCTGGCCAGACCTGGAGCCCCGCGGGCGGCCTCACGGGCGTCGGGGACGGAGCGCGAGGGGACGGGGGACCGCCTTCCACCGGGAAAGATTCCGAGCGCACCCCGCCCACCCAGCTGGGCCCCAGAGCGACGTGAGGGTCCAGGGAGCCCGCGAGCCTCTGGGCTGGGCTGCTGCCCCCCAATAAGGCCCCGGGTGAGCGCGGCAAAAGGAAACACACGCTCCCAAGTCGAAAGGCCCCAGCTTCAAAGCCCGCTCCGCCACCGACTTGCAGGCCCCGGCCGGGCCGGGGTGGGGTGGGGTGGGGTGGGCGAGGCGCCTGCGCAGTTTGAGGAGGGCCTCACTCTCAGGCCCTGACCCAGGAGTGAGCGCCCAGGGCACTGAAGGGGTTCATGGAAGGAACTCACTCAGTGTTGGTTGACTGACTAAATGACAATTCCCTCTCCCAATGTATGAATCAGGGCAGATTAGGCCATGCTGCGGCCATAAACAAACTCCCACGTCTCAGTGGCTTAACCCAATGAAGATTTACTTGTTGCTCACAAGTAGTCAGCGCAGGTCCGGCGGGGCCCCCTCTTGGAGCCGCGTCTGCACCTCCTCCCTACCCAGTTGCGAGGCCCGAGGACCAACGGCCTCAGCATCACCTGGCTGCTTGTTGGAAAGGCCCCACCCCGCAATCAGATCTAAACTTTGATAAGACCCCCAGGTGATTCACATGCACAGGACAGCTTGTAAATCCCTGTTCTAGAGCAGTGGCCTCCAAGGTCACCTTGGCAGGGAAAGGGGATGGAGAAGTGACATCATCACTTCTGCTCATATTTCATTGGCCAGCACGAGTCACAGGGCCCCAACTCCACTGCAGCGGAGGCTGTCCTTGCTGGGCTGGCTGGATTCAGTGACAATAAAGTGATCGTGTATGGAGCACCCAGCAAGATCCAGCCTGTGTTAAGGACTGTCCACAAAAAGTGTCATTTCTAATTTTCTTATTAGACAAATGCCGTCTTTCTGCGTGTGCCGCTGAAGAGAAACCAGAGTGAGAGACGGGTCATATTCTTTTTTATTTATTTATTTATTTATTTTTTTTCACACAAGACCCTCATGTCTAAGAGACGGGTAATATTCTTTGCCGCAGGTACCTTGGCATCTGGGATACCGACTTTTGCTTCACTTTTGCCTCAGTTTCTCCGTTTGTTAAAAAATAAAGGCAGCCTGCATGTTCTTCCAGGCCCGGGCCAGGCCTCACATGTTAGGATCTAAGAAATGAATCTGAAAAGGGAAACTGAGGAAACACGTCGTGATCAGGACACAGCGTACGGAAACCGTGAAGTGTATCTGCAGCTGAAAAGGAGAAGCCGGCGTCAGCCATTTGCGGCTGGTCAGCTCCCTGGGTGCGCCCCTGCCTTTGCACCTGCGCGTTGCACCTGCGCTCCTGCACCTTGCGCCTGCGCCCTGGCCGTCCCGCGCCTGCTGCTGGGGAGGTGGGAGGCGGAGCTCGCAGGTGCGATTGGGGGACTGACCCAAGCAGGGCGGGAGTGAGTAGGCCGCACATCCTAGAGTTGGGGGTGACAACTGCACCGTGGCACCATCAACAGTCAGCTGCAAATCCCAACTCCGCCGCTCATTTGCTTTGTGGCTGTGCGTAAGTTCCTCCCCCTCTCTGGGCCTCAGTCTCCTCTCATAGAAACTGGGATCTGTGGCGGAGCCTGATCGATGCCCATTCATTGTCCTCCTTCCCTTCTTTCCTCAGTCACCAATCCCTGATTTTATTTGGGGCAGGCAGCAATGCACTCGGCTTTGCAGTTAGGTGTGGCCGTGGGACTAAGGAGCAGCAGGGAGATGTGAGCAGAAGTGCTATGTGCCAATTCTGGGACGGCTCCTTGAAAGGAAGGACTCCTCTTTTGTCCCACCACCACCACTGCCTCCTTCCTGCTGCTTCTAGTCGGTAATGCGGATGTGATGGTGGAGTTTGGCAGCCACTGTGGGCCATGAGGGTACCTTGAAGATGGACTTTAAGAGCAGAGAAGATTGAAGGAGAAATAAAGAAGGAGCTCGGATCCCTTTTGACACTAGAGCTGCCATATATGCCCTGGACTCTACTTGTAGATTTCATTCACATGATTAAAAACATAATATGTGTATGTGTGTGTGTACACATAAATACACTATTTCATATATACACACCATTTTTATATTTATATACATATGTAATTTATATATACTCTCTCTATATACACACCTTCCTATTTAAGGCAACATTATTTGCAGTTTTTCTGGTTAGTCATTGCTGTTGTGAAAATGTTTTGATTTTTGTTGTTGACAGTGTATCTGGCAACATTGCTGAACTCTCTTATTTGCTCGAATATTTTGTCAGTTTATTTGGTTAGTTTTTCAAGGTAGATGATCACGCCACCTGCAGACAGTGACAGTTTTCTCTTCCCTTCCAATAATTACGCCTCTCGTTTTCTTTCCTTGTAGCTTGAGGTTGGCCCTCCAGCCCCAGGCATTAAACAGTAGCAGCAGTAACTCGCATTCCTGCCTCATTCCTGATCTTAAAAAACATATATGTAAAGTTTTTCCACTAGGAATATTTTCTGTAGGCTTTGGGTATTAAAAATCCCTCCTAAATTAAGGAACTTTTCTTTTCCTCCAGTTTGATAAGAATTTTAAAAAATCATAAATACCTAAGGACCTTATCAAAAGCTTTTTCTGCATCAACTGACATAATCATACATCATGGATTTTCTGATGTTAATGATTTTCTGAGATAAACCCTTCCTGGTGGTGATGTATCATTATTTTAACTCTGCCAAATTCAGTAAGCAAATATTTTCTTTTGTGTTTTACCATTAATATTTTCACAAATGAAATGGCCTATAATTTCCTTTTTCTGTATTGTGTTATCTGGTTTATGTAACCAAGATAACACTTATAAAATAAGCTAGGTTGGCTACTTCTTTTTTTTGTTTGTTTGGGGATTTAAAAAAATTTTTTTAACAACTTGTATAAGATAGAATTAATTATTTCTTAGAAGTTCAGCAGAACTTACTCATAACAGCATCTGGGAGCCAGATGTGGTGGCTCACTCCTGTAGTTCCAGCACTTTGGGAGGCCGAGGTGGGAGGATCACTTGAGGCCAGGAGTTCAAAACCAGCCTGGGCAACACAGCAAGATCCCATCTCTACACAAATTAGCCAGGTGTGGTGGTGCGCACCTGTAGTCCTAGCTACCAGG